TTGAGCACAACTGTGATTCAGGGAGACAGCCAGGTTAGAGAAAGAAAGAAGTTACCATATGAGAATCAGTCAAGATCCTTACAAAGAACACATGGACAAAGTCAATTAAAGGCTTTCCTAGCTGTGATCTGGGAACAAAGAGCATTTATGTGAAGACCTTCTTGTAGGCTTTGTAATCTCCTCTCATGGGATAAGTAGGAGAGGACACATTGTTAATAGTGCTGTGTGAAGCTTCAGTCGCTGATTCAATTTGGAGGAGATTCAGTCTGATTCAGCAGCTGAATCTCCAATTCCAAATCGAATCAGGAGACCCATTAATCCCTCCAAATCAAATCAGAAGCCTCCAATTCGATTCGGAAAAATTCAACGATTGGACACAGACCTAGCTTTACATGTTTTTTCTACATACCTCAAGGTACCAGGCATGGCTCGTGAACGCAAATGGTGGGACGGATGGAGCGTCCCACAGGAGTGTGTGTGGGGGGGGGGGTGCCCTGCACGCTCAGTGGCAGACCTGGGAGCGGACCAGAAGTACTTCCAGTCCACTTCCAAGTCCACCACGGAATGCACAGGGAACGCCCCCAGCCCCTGGCTCAGCAACTGGTGCCTTCTGGATCTGGGGGGGTGCATCTGGGGTCCCTCTGCAGCCAATCACCGAGCCAGGAGGGGGGCGGGGGGGGAAGGGTTGTCCTGTGCACTCAGCAACAGACCCAGAAGTGGATCGGAACCACTTCCGGTCCATGGCCAGGTCTGCCGCCAAGCACACAGGGGACCCCTCCGCACTTCTTTGGGACGCTCCATCCATCCAACCAGCTCAGCGTTCACAAGCTGTGTGGTACCTCGAGGTATGTAGAAAAACATCATATAAAGCTGTGTCTATGGCCGAATCGCCGATTCTCTGAATCAGAATGGAACCTTCAGATTCAGCTGAATCGAATCGGGACAGTGATCCGAATCAGCAAATTGAATCACTGTCCCCAGAATCTGGCCAAATCCAAATTGAATATGGCCTGCTTCACACACCCCTAATTGTTAATAGTAACGATTTGTTGCCTTTCTTCCAGTTCAGTCAGACGAGTAATTTTCTGCTCCCTGCGTTCAGGTCGCAACTTGTAGATATACTGCATTCAAAAATCGGCAGTTCTTAACCCTGTTCCTCTCCAGGACCTCCATCCTATTTAGCATGAGGGAAGAAAAGGAGGCAAGGCTCTAAAACAATTTTTGCAACCCCAGTTTCCTAAAATTGAAGATACAGGTTTCAAGATCATTTTTTAAAACACAGCAACAGTTTAAAAGGTTAACATCTATAATCCAAGCAATGCTACAAGATTTCCTAGGATTTCTTCTTCCACATTGACAATTTTCAAATCCTTACATATTTTAATTAAAGGCAAAATATCTGCAACAATACCAAGTAAGCATGGGTTCCTAATCTAAATCAGCAGCAAGATTTGTATTGATTAGTCCTTTCAGGATTGGCTTCACTATTAGCAACAAGTATACAACAGTAAACAGGGCTTAAAGTGGCCAAGAAGAATAACAAAGATAGTTGGGTGTGTACAAAAATAACAGTTTTGACCCTACTAATAATAGTTAGTAGGGTCAGAAGGGACCTGAGCAGATCATCAAGTCTGCCCCCCTGCCACAGGGAGGAAAGAATGCTGGGGTCAGACGACCCCAGCAAGGTGTCTATCCAGCCTCCTCTTAAAGACCCTCAGGGTAGAAGCGAAGACCACTTCCCTTGGAAGTTGGTTCCAGATCCTAGCCGCCCTGACTGTGAAGTAGTGCCTCCTGATATCCAGCCTGAATCTACTCTCTGTCAGCTTATGTCCGCTGTTCCTTGTTACTCCCGGTAGTGCTCGGGGGAACAGGGACTCTCCCATTGCCTGCCGGTCTCCCTTGGGGAGTTTATAGATGGCCACCAGATCTCCCCTCAGCCTCCTCTTGTGGAAGAAGAACAGGTTCAGATCCCGTAGCCTATCCTCATAGGACCTGCCCTGCTGCCCCCGATCATGTGAGTGGCCCTCCTCTGGACCTTCTCAGTGTTGTCCACATCCCTCCTGAAGTGCGGCACCCAGAACTGGATGCAGTACTCCAACTGTGGCCTGACCAAGGTCGCATAGAGGGGGAGGATCGCCTCCTTGGACCTGCTCGTGATGCATCTGTGGATGAATGACAAGGTGCGGTTAGCCTTTCTGACTGCATCCCCACATTGGTGGCCCATGTTCATCTTTGAGTCAATAATGACTCCAAGATCCTTTTCTGCCTTTGTGCTGGCGAGAGGGGAGTTCCCCAGCCTGTAGGTATGCTGCTGGTTCTTCCTCCCCAGGTGCAGTACCTTGCACTTGTCAGTGTTGAAACCCATTCTATTCTCATCCGCCCACCTCTGTAACCTGTCCAGATCTGATTGCAACTTGTCCCTCCCCTCTAGCATGCCCCCCCCCCCCACCCTTAGTGTCATCTGCGAATTTGAACAAGGTGCTATTCACCCCCTCGTCCAAGTCGCTGATGAAGATGTTGAACAGTGCAGGCCCGAGGACCGAGCCCTGAGGAACCCCACTGCCCACATCCTTCCAGGTCAAAAAAGACCCATCCACCACCACTCTTTGGGTACGGCCCTCCAGCCAAACAGCAACCCATCTGACCATGTAGGGATCGACACCACAGTCACCTAATTTTTTAATGAGAATCACCAAACAAAAGCCAAAGGAACTTATAGCACCTAAATTTGCACAAGTAAAATGGACCCATAAAGGTCAAATACAAGAGAGGCTTAACAGCTGATCAGTCACACCATAATCAAGACAAGAAAAACCTTCTGCCGCTCTACGGTTCTTTTGTGGTTTTCTTTTTACAACTAAACATCATTGCTAACTTACAATAGAGTTACCATTACCTCCTACATTCGTATGAATGCCTAAATTTCACAGCACTTAACAATACTCACTTCTAACAATGAATTCTAAAACAAGCAATTATTTCCCACTTTTAAAATGCTGTTGGCATATTTATTTTACACAATACTGTGCATTTACTTGCTTAGCTACTTTACAAATAGATCTATTTCTGTGCTAGTAGAGAATCATTTTCTGAGGCAAGGAACATACTCTTTAAGGAGAGAATAAGACTACAGAATTTCTAGCATCCGACAACTGACTAAAGAAAGTAGGATTATTAATTTAAAAACTTCAAAGGAATTTTCATCTGTACTAACCTAAAAAGTTTCTTTTTATCTGAATTGCTGACATTCTTTTCCTAAAATAATACAACTTGATATAACTAAAGAAATCGGTCACATTCCTCTGGTAGCACAATAGGACTGCAACATGTTACTTGTACATGACAGACATGCATTGTAGAATGAATTCAGTCTTTGGAACTCCTTTCCATTTACAGGTTTTAATTATTATTAAGACAAGTCATACATTAATCAGCTTGCTCCCTTAATTTCCCCCCTCTGTTGTCAGCGTCACAATTTTTTTTGACAAGAAGAGTGTGCAACAGGGATCAGCTTGAGCTTGTCAGTGCATATCCATCGCAAACCTTACAAAATTATATTCGACACTCAAAAGATGACATGCAACTCCTGTAAGAGATCTTTCACTCACCTGTTGCCTCTTTTCAATCTTCAGTTTCATTCGGACTTGAATGCACTTCAAAGTATATCTGTACAAATCCCATGAAGCATCCTGCATTCGATACTTGTGAAATGCACCCATCAAGTTACCACAGAGAAAAATGACAGCATTGGCAAGTAACTGCAAGGGAAGAAAACATACTTAAGTACTGCAGAACAGTCACCAGTTGGCACTACGTACTGAAGTGATATTAGATGTTTTTTGGCTACCACATACCAAAACATTTACATTTTTCTCATCCTTTCACACAAGCAAATTACTACCACATTTTTTGCACTAATCAGTGTGTATCTGTTAAACAGAACATGAATGCTTTTATTATAGCGATCTTAAAAAACATAAATCTGTATATAACTAACTTGGGAAAATTCCCAATGAGCACATGCATCAGTATGACTGAGTTCTCCTGAAATGGCACTTGGAACCCTTTAAGAAAAGACAGACAGTGTAAGAGCCATACTGTCTCATCATGAGAGCTATGGCCCACTAACTTTACCATTATCCACAATCTAAAGGAGGTAGGTTTAGGCTGTTTATTAGATGAATCTATAGAGGAACCCCTTGGAATAGCCAGCTCTGGGACAGGGAGCAGGTTGGAATTGTTTCACTGAGTTAGTGTCCACCTGTTAATTAGACCCCTGCTTAATAGAATTAGTGCATATTAGAATTAAAAACTCAAATTGAACCCCAAAATCCTGATGTTCATGTTTTCCTCCACTCATTAGTGCCTTCCTTTATAAAACCAGAGAGATGCTTATTGGAATCGAAGTCTTAAACCATAATCTGGTTTTCATATATGTTTTTCTTCTAGCTAGTAAGACAATGAGTAAAATACAACCAAATACCAAAGCCATACAGATTTCTGGATGGAATTCCACACAGACTTCTTACTTTGTTAATGCTTATTAGAATCAACATTTATTAGATCAAAACTGCTAACAGCTGGTGGACACTATCTAATTAAATCAAACATTAAGGAGAAGAACAGCTCTGCTCCAACGTATTCATAGATTCATAGATGTTAGGGTCGGAAGGGACCTCAATAGATCATCGAGTCCGACCCCCTGCATAAGCAGGAAAGAGTACTGGGTCTAGATGACCCCAGCTAGAAACTCATCAGAATTTAGGAAGTCATTTAAAAAAAAATATATATCTAGTCCTTACGTTTGTGAAGATTATCTTTGGTCACCTTTACTAAAATAAACTGCTGCACTGCTGTCCAAAGAGCAGCCCCAATGCTGCTTATAATTTGCCAAGCAAGAGAAGTGCGAAATTAGCCAAAGTCTTGTCAATTTTCACTGTTATTTAGAAATGTGCAGGTTGTGTAGCAATCATTCCTCTAGGACTTATAAAAGAAATCAAGTAGTAATATTTTTTTCCTCCCCTTCCCTTGCACAAACCCTCTCCCTCAAAGCAGGGTTGGGGAAAAGTAGTAGACAGGCCAGGTTTGACTTTTTTGATTTGCTGGTTATCATTTACATCAATTAATGTTTCTAAAAATATACCCTCTGTCTCCAGCAGGTCTGTCTTTAACATTGATATATCAAATATAAAGATGGGAATACCCGTGAATTATTTTCCATGTGCAAATCTTTTCTCTAGCATGCAGAACAAATTAATTTGTAAAACCAAACAATCATACACAAATAATATACATTTACACAGCTATCGTATATAGCTTGAACAGTCTTATCTTTATCTCCCTTTCTTCTTTACCCCCAAATGCCACAATTCTGAGGTACTTGTTGTCTCATACTTTTTTAAAGATGACAAATTTCACACGATTTGCAAATGGTGTTATGAGTCTCAAACCTGTGACCTACGGCCTCTAAGAATCGAGACGCTCAAAATCACTCTGAAGATACAAGCTAACTGCTTTTAGAGAAACTGTCTAGAATAACCCCCAGTTCAGTTACTAAGGGAGCTTTTAATCCACAGAGATTGCTCTGGACTGTGATTAGTGCATTGAAAACACATCTACTGCTAATAATGGAATGAATATCAAATGTTAGAAAGAGCAGTGACCTCACTCTACCACAAACATTCATCTGGAAAGGAAGTAAGGTCATTGAGAGGTATCTCATTTAATGAGACATGACCTGTACATATAAAAAATGTGCTATCCGCGAATCACTGAGGGTGAACTCCTTATTCTAGCTTTTTATCTTTTTTAAAAGCAGCAGGATAGACAAGTGGTAGTGCTAGCCAAGTGGTTGTGAAAATGCTTTGGTAAGGTGGTGTTGGTACATACCAATTGCTGTTAGGAAATGCCTGATTTTTTTTTCCCCAGACACAGGCATTTAGTTTAGAGAACACAAACCTCTTCCTTCACCTTCCCAAAGATCAGGCTGACATTCACTCTCTATTTAAATCTGCCACTTGATCAAAGAGATGCAGTAAAAGACTCCTGCTCCTTTTCCTCCAAGGGGAAGGGACTGGTGCTAACAGTTTAGTCTGTCAAGATTATGCTGAAACAAATTCTGATTTATCTTTTTTTCCTCCCTGCTCTTTTGATTGTAGGAAAGTGATCATTTCTAGCTGTAGGCATACATTTTACAGCCGTTACTCCAAAACTGTAACAGGAAAGAAAAATTAGCTTCTTGGCCTTGGAATGGAAAGGAGGGCTGGCTGGGAAGGGATCAACTGATGCATGCTTTCACTTTTTGATAGGGTGCCCCAAATTTGTTAAAATTTCTTAAAGCACTGATGCAAATGTGGCTGGTGTTCCTGATGTACAATACAAAAGAGAAAAAGCATGATAATGATTAAACCATGTAAAGTACAAAGGGGATTTAAAAAATAACACTTTTATTATCAAATCAGTTTCAAAAGGTGAGGTGAGCACTCTCAAACATCCTTGATTTTGGAAGCACACCTATCATTATAGGAAATCATGGTTAGCTTTTTTCCACATTGTGCCCTAAGATTAGGAGAGGGCAAAATGTGGCCCGCGGGCTAGATGCGGCCCGCCAGGCCATTCTATCCAGCCTGTGGGGCCCCTAAAGAATTTAGAAAATGAATATTTATCTGCCCCTGGCAGCCAGGCATGCAGCCTTTGATGGCTTGCCAAAACTCAGTAAGTGGCCCTCCGCCCAAAATAATTGCCTGCACCTGCCTAAAATATACAAAATGATTAAGAAGTCTTTTCTTAGAGCCAACAATTTCCAAAATGCCTTTGCCCGACCTAACAGCCCTCCTCTCATTCATGGAAAATCTGTATCAATCTCAAATGCTTCACTACCTAGGAAAAAAAAATATGATTGAGCGCAGGAAACATCTAATAAAAAATTCTTCCTTTATAGATCAAATGGATCTTCCTCTTCCCTTTAAACACTGAAAATAATCCAAATGGAGGCCTCACACAAGGGCTTAATTTACCTTTCAAGGGGAGCTGACTGTGAAACACAAATGGTATGTTGTCTAGATAATAAAATAGTCAAAAGAATACAGCTCTTGTGTCACTGACTAGTAATTAATGTTTCCTCCTGATGTGTAAGACAACTGAAAAACCTTTTTTTTTTTGTAAACATGATCATAAAACAAGAAAGATTCATAGATAATCCTAGCAAAGCTACTGTTAACTAACACCAGACTGACAATCAAATAAGATTACTACAGGTGCACCAATACATCGGTCCGATATCAGATCAGCACTGATATAAAGAAAATTGACTGCATCGGAAATCAGCCTGATGTGGCCAATAACGTGGCCAATAAATGCCCCGTGCATGTGCACAGCCACAGCTCAACACATAGGCAGCAAGGAGCACAACCCGGCATCTTGGAGAGCTGCATGCAGCAGGTAAGTCTATTGTGGTGGAAGGGGAGTGGGGAAGGAAAAGGCATGGGGAAAGCAAATCAGGGCCCCCACGGTGAGGGAGGGTGGGGGGCTAGGGTTGGGGCTGTGGCAGGCACTGCCCAGCCAGGGCAGGATGGAGCCGCGGCTCATCCGGGGGGGGCGCAGGGAGTGGGGAGCAGCTCCCGCCACTGTGCACAACCTGGGAGGGCACCGGGGGAGCAGGGGAGGAGAGGCATGTGTCCGTAGATCTGCGTGGGGCAGGTTGCCACTGTGAGCCTGGGGCAGCGGGCTCTTCCCAGTGTGGGGGGTGGGTGGGCTGGGGCTGCACTCAGAGTAGATGATGATGGCACTGGGAAGGGGGGCTTACGGTGAATTTTGGGGTGGTTGCAGTGCCTCCCCACCACCATAGCCTCCCTCCCAGTGCCTCCACTGCCTGCCCCAAGTGCAGCCCAGCCCAGCCCCCACCAGGAAGAGCCCAGCACAGCCCCGGTCCCAGGCTGCAGCGGCAGCCTGTGGCAGCAGCCCGCACCACACAGAACCAGGGGGCACAACCCCTCCTTGTGCCCTCCTGGGGTGCACACAGTGGCAGGAGCTGCCTCTGCCTCCCCATGTCCCCCAGACGAGCCACGGCTCCCACGCCATGCCATGCCCCACCCCAACGACACCTACTCCAGCCCCACTCCCTCCCTCACCACAGGGGCCTTGATCTGCCCCCCTGCCATGCTCCTTCCTTCCCCCACCTCTTCTGCCACAACAGACTTACCAGCCACACACCGGTTACCAGGCTGCATATTGGAAATCAGATCAGTATCAGACAATATGGTTCCTTAAAAACTGGCTATCAGTACCAGCCCCAAAAATCTCTACCAGTGCACCCCTAAAGAATACTGTTACACAACAAAGCAAGAGCAAAGAGCAGCCACTTTGTGGAAAAAAGTATTATAATCTGTTTTTTTGTCAAAATTAAAACAAACATGAAGCCTGAAAACATACTGTAAAGTTAAAAAAAATAGGGATTAAGCCCACAAGGGGAAAAAGACAGCGGGTTGGGTAGATAGCAGACAAAAAGATTGCGCTTATAAAACTTACAAAAGGACAGCTGGAAATCACAGATCTCTATGGTGCAACTGTAGCTTTACCTACTTTAGATCAAATTATCATGTTCTTTCCTTTTAGATATTTACTTCATCTTGTAATTTAATTTTTTAAACTATCATATGTAAAATTCTAGAATTTACCTAAACCTTTGTAACTGATTTTCTTTGTAAAGACAAAGAAAGTTACTTGCAAAAAAAACCCTCATTATATCATTATCATTTTAGAAATATGTATATCTTTTGGCTACACTTCTTTCATATGCCTTACAAATAAAAAAATGTGAAGTATTCAGTGCTAATTTCTACTATATTCTATAAAAGCTCTTATACCATACTCATCCTTCTATTATCTGTGCTCCTTCTAGCAATGTACTACATGAAGCCAGTAGGGCACTGAGAAATTATGTCACATTCATTCAACAATCTGAAATTTCTTTTTAGAAGTATACAACATGAGTGCAGAACATATGCCAAACTCCCTAGTCCTTCACCGTGATCAAGATAAAATTATAACAAAAAGTAAAGCACTCTGTTTAATAGGACACAGTATATTTGTCCCAGTCATTAATGAAAATGCTCACTCATTCAGAAAAGGAACTACATTTGATCTACTTGTCCTCATAGGCTGTGTCCAGATGAGCACAGTGGTGCCACACTCCACGCATTCAAGCGTTCTCCACACTGCTACATTGCAGTGCAGGGTGGGTTTTTGACCCCAAGAAATCCCAGGGTCAAAAAAACCCACACAGAAAAAAAGCAGGGTTGCACACATGGTGGCAGCAGATGCTGCCCAAAACTAGCACCTGGCTGGCCAGAGCTATGCTCCAACTGTTGGTAGGCTCCCAGCTGCAGGAGTATTGCAGCTGTAGCTTCCCCAGCCCCCAGTATCCCAGGTTAAGCTGCTGGGGCCAGCACAGTTGCTAGCCCCAGCCTCCCCTACTCCCCCTGGGGTAACCTGCCGCATGCCAGAGCATGTGTGGCACAGGCATTCCCCAGGGACAAACAGCAGTGGCATAAGGTGAGCCACTGCTTCTTGTCCCCGAGGAAACACACATCCATGCTCACATGGATGTGGCCCCAGAGTGCATACACACACACTAACTTGCTGACAGTTAAGTCAACTTAACCATCAAAGCATACACACATATGTGGAGCACAATAGACTTAAATGCAGCGCAAGATAATACGTCTCCAACATGTATTATCTTGAGTCAGATTAGTTAAGCAGACTCTAAGTCAACTTAAAGTACGTGTCAGCTAAGCCAACTTAAGCCGACTTAACTTGTTCCAACACTCCTATGCCCCATGAGCCTCTGGGGCAATCACTTCCTTATTCCACCACCTGCACTGCCTGAAGCCACATTTCTGCCACATTCTCAGGCTCTTAAAGGCACGTGCAGCATGAAGGCCAGCTGCTCCCACTCCCAGCTAAGACCATCTCTGTCCTGAGTAAGAGGCAGCCAGTGGTGAGGCAGTCCCTTTAAGGACTAGGAGGGGTTGGGCTGCCCTGAGTGACAGGGTGAGGGGTGGGGCAGCCCAGCCTCCCAGCCGCAGCTTGCAGTGACACCTACCTGGCGACCAGGGCTACTGCAGGGGAGGGCTAACAAGATGGCTGCTGCTATGTCAAGGAGCTATACGTGTGTAAGCTCCGATGTGGCTTAACTTAAGTCAACTTACTTAAATCACCTTATTTTAAGTCAACTTAAGATGTGTGTATGCACTGCTATCAAGTAATTTAAGCAACTAAGGATCTTTTTCATATGACATCCTACATAAAGGCTACAGCATAATAAGCTCCTAAAATCATGGAATCAATGAAGTTCAATGAAGTTGAAAACTTTTCTTTTTCATCAAAGAGCTTTTAAACCTTATACAATCTTTATTACTATAACCTGATCCTTCACTTGAAATAGAATTATGATTCTCATGCATTTGTCTCAAAAATCCAGATGTGTTGCTGGAGCATTCTCCACCGTAAAAATATCATTCATTCAGTATCGTGCATGTAAGTCTTGAATATTTTTGGTAATGCCCCCCTTCCAGTTTTTACATATTGCTAATGCGGATTCTTTTAAATCTTTTGCACATTTCTTTCCAGTCTCCTTAATTTGTGACACAATGCATAGATGAATCATATATAAAAAGCAAATATTTACCAGTGGACATCATTTGTAATTTCCTTGAAGAGAAGCATACAAATAGGATGTGGACCCAAACCAAGATCTCAGAACATGGAATTTTGGACCTGTATCTGAACTTTGCAATCTATGACTATCTCTAATGGAAATACTATCCAAGATATTTGAATATTCAAACAACCAGCATTTCCTTACCTGAAATACAATGGACTCTTTAAATGGTAGAACATGAGATGCTGCAATGCTTAGGGCTATAATATGGGACACCGCAGAAAGGATGCTGATTATAATAGCCTCTAACATCCCAAAAGGTAGCATGGTATAAACAGCAAATATTATGAATAGAAAGAATGGCACCTTTAAAAAGGAAAAGAAAAAGAAAAAAAAAACTGTTACCAGGTACCTGCCAGTCACTACAGAGCAAAAATAAGACCAACCTTCTTACATTTATTTAGGCTGAATACTCTTGAACAATTCAGATCACAAGGGCAACTATATCCATAAAAGCTATGACAGCATTGGGCAAAGGTTAAACATAAATACATCACCAAGACAGTTGTTTAAAGTTGGCACTTCATCCTTAACTTCCCCAGTTCTTCTTTGGTTGAGCATATAGGACACTGACAGACGTGGAAAAAAACTCCAACAAACCACTGGAAGCTTTACTGGAAGCAGCAGTATGTTACTTTAGGCTCAGCTCCACGGCTTCTGTATAGATCAGGAGCTTCAACAGGGCTTTTTGGTGCTTTTATCTAATAGCCAATTCAATCAGCTATGAGATAAATGCAAAGTACCAAAAAAGCCCCATGAAGGTGCCTCATCTATAGACGCTGGGAAAGCCAGGTGCAACTAATGCCCTGCTGGGCTCGGCATGGGAGTGCACCGAATTTAAAGTAAAGTACTATTTTGGGGAGGGGGGAGAAGGAGGGGTTTCCATATATGTAATGCCTATGGCTGCTTGCAGACCAGATGAATGAAGTGACATAAGAATTACATACCAGGAACAAAGTACAAAGCAAGGACAGAAATATCTGCCTGGACTTCAAATTTCTCAAGTGCTGCAAGTCAGCAGTCTAATATTAATGCCATCACATCCTGCATGCACATTTATTCAACATTTTATTGATCCTAAAACCAAACAGTCTTTCTTGGTGTCAACACAATGGTACAATCACTACTGCACATGAACACAAATTTAAAATGCATAGCTAGATATCACAAAATGCACCCTGATTTCCCTATATACAGAACCTATATAAATCTAAATCACACGTTTATGTCAGATACGTTGCAAGTGTCTCCAACCAGATTTTCCAACAAACTTCAAGGCCAGACAACTGCTGCTTCAGGTATAAGCTTCCTTTCTTAATGGGGGTTTCAAGCCTGGTTTCCTCTTAAAAAAAAACTTGCCAGTACAGCTATTCTGCTTGGAAGTATGAAACACAAATGATCTATTTTACAAAAGCCCCGATGAAGATGCAATTATGCCAGCAGCATGTTCTTAATGAGGTGGCTCACTTGTTCAAGGGACTGATATATGCCATTATTTAGTCACGCCCTGAGGCAAATGGCAAAAATTTACTGTTCCAACTGACCTACTATTATTATATTGTCTCAATTTTAGAAAACAAGCTAAAGATATTAGCTCACATAATATCCCGCAGCTTTGAATGAGACGACTGTTTTGGTTAAATGAGCAAAAATATATTTCAATGACCAAATTCTGCTTTGTCATATAGCTAAAGTGAGAATTTTCCCCCCAAATTTTTAATCGATTTCACTACTAAATATATTCCAAATGTCAAGACTCAGAAGAGTGGAGCTCAGCAATAAATATAGAGACATAAGTCTTAACAATAAAGCTAGATATCTTAAACTACTGTATAGTGACAGTAGTTGAAGTTTACAGCAAATAAATTGCCAGGTTGTGGCCATAATGCAAAACAGATTTTAATTGTCTAATAAATAATTTCTAATTTCTTCATTTGGAAGTAGGAGACAGGAGTCTGTACACTTAAGAGTGATTTTTATTTCATTAAAAACGCTCTTGCTTACATTATCAGAGCTGAGGAGGAGTTTCCTACACATATTTTTGGCATCATAAAATTGCCAGTTTTCTGATCACAGATACCAAGTAATCAGTTTCAGCCGCACCCAGAAATGCCAGGATGTGTCATTAGTTCTTATTGTTCCCTTCACCTCTCTACTGGATTTGAAAACATTTTCCTTTGGGCACACCCAGCTCTTTTCAAAAAAACTTCTTATGTTCATTTCTTTCCTAGCACACTAATAACAAAGATGCATTCAAGGCAAATAATCAATTTAGACTGCTTGAAGGAAAATAAAATTCCATTAAAAAATAAAAGGCTGCAAGGTTTAAACAGATTTTTTACTTTACACACTGTTCCAGCGTAGTACAACAGATCTGTGGTTAGCACTTGCATATGTCTTTGCAGGATCAGGTCCAAAGTTAACAAAAAAAAGTGTCATCTTAACAATCCAATAACAACAGAACTGATTTAGGGATGTAGCTAACCTAAAACTAAACAATAAATATTATGTAATGTCATTTGTTAGAAAATATAAGCTATTGGTAGGTATCTTTTCTAAATGTCAGTGTACGAACCAACAGGAAGCACATACCTGTTCCCATGCACAGAATGAATGCTGACCTTCAGTATCAAAAACAGACACATATCCTATGGTTAGGAAGCAGATCCAAATCAAAATTCCAAATAATTTCAGCCATCTTCTAAATAAGGATTCAATGCATACAAGCAAGTAGATGATTGCAAATATTACCAATGTAATACATACTGTAATAACAAAAGCAAGATGATGATGTGCTTCCTGATAAAAACAAGCAAACAAACAAGCAAGACATGTTATTAAAGAGGAAAATCAGTACAAATAACTTTAAAAATGCTAAATGTCATCAATACAGTTATGTCATCATCATCATCATCATATTACACTGAAGTGAATGGGCTATTTCTATAAAAATGAAAGTAGATGTACTTTTCAGACAGATATAGAAGTCTGTGCACATAACAAATATCCCAGAAAAAGGAAAATTCCTTGTAAGGCTGAAAGAAAAAAAAATTATATTTCTCTAAACTTTATGTAATAATGTGTACACATGCACCTGTTACTCTAAAATCATTTTGAACCTCTAGTTCTGGTAAAATATTGTTTGTAATGTATTTAGCAGAAAAAAATTAAGCCACTGTGATTCTCTTGGCTGAGAACTGAACTGGGGGCTTCAATTAAAACTTAGGCATAAGCTACTATGGGGCTGAGCACCTCTGCTGAGTGAAGAGGACCACTTCTGAAAAACATTCAGGTGTGGGCTTGATGGCTTATGCCATTTGCAACTCCTGTTTGTAAATGCCGAGAGGGAAGAAAATTGAATTAGCAAAGCTTCTATATTTACCTTTAAAAAAACACACACACACACACTAACAATTGTTTTCCATAAATTTCCAACTGACACTCAATAAATCATTTTTGAGAAGGGGGGGAGGGGGGCTGTTGGACACACACACTCAGTCCCTAGCGTTCCTTCGTTCTTCATTTAACTTCACAACTAACTATACTGAAACAAGGAGTTACCGTTCAATTAAATATGTATCTAACAAGTCTGTGAGTTTTGATACACATTCCTTCAATCACACAACATGGTACAAAGCAAGAACAAGTGATTCAACTTACATGTTTAACAAAAAAAATAATAATTAGTGTAGTGCAGAAAGTAATTGCAATGAAGAGCAGAAGAAGAAGAAGTGGTTGCTGTTGACTTGTGTAGCAGTACTTCCCATAAAGTGGGTCTGTTATCTTGCAGTCTTCATTGTCATTAAAGAAGTATTTGCCTTTAGCTGGCATTTTATTCCAGTTTGGCTTTTATTTCTTTCTTCTGTCCAGTAATCACAAGATGAAGATCAGTCTATCCTTCTTTGAGGACTTTTTGCCTCGTCTCCGATGTAGCTATACCGTGCAGGACCAAGGGCTACAATGGAGTAACTCACATTCTGTGCTCCTACTTCTTCTGAACCATAAGTTTAGATATTAATATAAATGCAAAGGAAGAGCCCTCCTCCCCACAGCCATTTGCTATTCGTCAACAGCTCCATGCATGTTTTACTAGTCTGACTGATATTTGTGATCCTGCAGAGGTTTGTTGTTTGCCACAATCACTAACTCCTTTCCACAAGCTGTCAGCAGATCCCTTCCAGGGCTTGCTTTGCAGGATGAGCTCTGTGAAGAAACAGAATTAGTAAAATAATGCTTCTGCTAAATTAATACAGTTTTGCCTGAGAAAAGTATATTTTGTAACTTACAGTAAATACGCAGACACAAAGCATCCTTTGCTTTGGGGAATGAGGCACTACACTACTTTCAACCCTTATTACTTTGTATTTAGCATAACAAAAACTCTGAAGCAGTAGTGCCCATACTGGGGGCTAGAGAGCACTGCTAATGCTCTGCAGAGCTGGCTGGTCACATGGCCCTGGCTCCCCCTTTTTTTTTTTTTTTTTTTTTTTCCTTAAGCTATTGAAACACTTGTAAAGAAGATAACAATACGTCAAATTCTTTTGTGTCATGTTTCCATTTGAGTAGTAGCTCCAGTTGCCAGTGGCACGTTACACAATTGTAGTTGGAAGGGAGAGTTGGTCCTAGCAATCAGAACTGGAAGGAGAGGTAGCAAAAGTTTGTTAAAAGCTTCTTTCCAGCCCAGTCTTGAAGCAGATCACACAGAGATGTATGGAACTCTTCTGAGACTGAAGCGGGTGGTGAGGAGCTAGTAATGCAGCAGGATGTTAACTATAGATGCATAATATTAGGATAAATTATCTCTTTGATTTTCCTTTACAATCCTTTAGTAACTATTTAACAGCATCACGTACTATTGTATTACTGGTAAAGTGAGAAACATAAAATACTGCTTAAAACTTGGCTGTTTAAAGTAAAACAATGTCTGCATTTTCCTCTACCCCTCAAACTATTACTCCCAACCAAAATTCCATAAAATAAGGCTTCCAAGTATTATACCACTAACATTCAAAAAAACATATTCTTTATTTAGATAGACATTTCTTTGCAAAACTGCCCTATTTTTATGAGGCTGCCCAACATGCCTTTAAAATGTATAAGTAAATCATAATATATTCATACAACTAACAGAAAAAGATCAACACACAATTCTTTTCACCAAATTCTTTCACCCTTATTTGCAACAAGTGGTTTCTCCCTCCTCAAGCAGCCCCACCAAAAACAAGGTAACTATTCACAGAATGAGAAAACATTCAATGAGTAAGACTGGCGGCATCTGGACATTCTAAACATATAGTTTATAATGCTGGTAATCAATGCAAAGAACTGATTTTAGTTCCTTATAATTTAAGGGCCTTATTAGGCACACTTATATAAGAAAAAAATCCCATTAAGCCTATGTAATACTTCACTCAAAACTAAGTTTATTTCCAGGTCAGCAATTTTTAGGAAGAACTCAACAGTGAAGTGAATGGAAATTTCCACTTAAAACTGTTAGTGAGATGTGGCCCAATGTGTACATATACAATGTTTGCTCTTAAACACCTCTTGCTTGTAGTCTACTTTTTCAAAATTTGCAGCACAGTTTAAAATCTTGTTAAATTATTTTAAGTTTACGTCCTTAAAAGTAGCAAACAAAAATAAGAGCAGAAAAGCCTGAGTCAAAACCTAAACTTAGCATACTAGTACCAGTGTTTTAAGACACACATTTGCTTAAAACCAACCCCCCTTACCTTCTTGATCTACATGTTTCTTTCAAATCTAATTAATACTGTTTCCATAGCAACAGGCATGTGGAGTTAGCAACGTACATTAAGGGATGAGTTGTATTGTTAACTAGTAATGACTGATGTTTTTCAAATAGATGCTTGGATATAGTTCATTCAATGCCAGGAGAGACTTTAGAGAGAGAGAGAGAGAGAGAGAGAGAGAGAGAGAGAGAGAGAGTGTGCAAGCGAGCGAGCACAAGCACAAGCCAGCGAAGTGTGAACAACAAGATTTCAAAACAGGTTTTATTAGGACTTGATAACATGACAACAGCTTCTTTCCTACTAGACTGACATCACCATGGTGTTCTTGGCTTTCTCTCTCCCCCAACAGGAATGGTCTGCTGCAAGAAAACTTGTAGGAAAGCTGAATAGAAAAGTCAGTTACTCTCAAGCAACAACCCATTTAACTACATGTGCAATGCATACACCCTGGGCTCACTGGAATTGGAGCAAGTGCTAGAGAATATAATTTTTAAACCTCATTGAATTATTTAGGCTTTAATCTAACCAAATATATTTTCCACCAGCTACCAGAACAGGCCAGTTTTCTAGACCTAGAAACCCCAATCCTGAAACTGCACAAAGTATATAACTCCCAAGTTCTGTAAAATTGGATAATTTACAAAACAAAAAGGGAGAGGACATACTGCATTTTGATTATTGCTGAATAATAAATCAGATCTCCCTGAAATATCACAAAGAATGCCAATGTTTATATACATTTTGCAAACAGAAGCAAACAAAAGGAAGTCATTCTTAAAATATACATATTTGCCTGAAATTGTCAAAACTTAGCTTACTTTAAGATACAAATTTTAAGAGGCCTGGTACACAGTCTTGGACTCTACACAGATAAGGACTCACAGATATCTATTTACTTATGTATTCTGAACCACTAAAAAGTGTTGCAGGTGCAAATAAGAAAGCATCTTTAAAAAATAAATAAAATAAATAAATCAAACGAGGAAAAGCAGAGAAGACTTCTTTAACTGTCATATTTCACTCATTCACGTAAACAATAAGATCTGTACACATGTTTTTTCTTGACCTTCCAAAAATAATAAAGAAGTACAAATAATTTTGGGAATAAGCTGCCATGAGCAGTTCAGCATTGAGTCTTGCACCTCTTTTTCTTGAGCATTATTAAAGACTGATAATATACGAGCCTGTCAATAACTAGCAGGAAATTGATCACTGGTTTCAACTGGCTTTTAGGAATGCAACAGTTTAATTTCCATAATATGTACTCATATCAATAAGCTATGGAAATTAGCATCAATATAATTCCCAAGATGCCCAGATGCACATAAGTACATGCACTCACACATACAAGACCCATCATACCTCATACAATTCAAATGTATTTACGCTCCTATACAAAATTTAAGAAATGGAGAGTCCAATAGAGCTACTTTAAAAATAGTATACAAGTAGCTACAATAAACTCAATGGTCTTTAACTAAGCTACTGTGACTAGCTGCTTATCTACAACGGGTATGGTTGGGAGGTACGTATTGATTCAGTAGAAAGAATTAGGCCATATCAGAGTCTATGGCTCTACGGGCCTGCCAATTTATTCTAGAAAAATAGGTTATTTTTTAATTGAACTCCTGATCACAGCAGTACCAACCACTTTTAATTGAAACAAAATTTCAATTAAAGTGATTAATTTATTGTAAAGGCAAATATTAAAATCTGGAATCATTTTTGTATGAGATTTGAACACTTAGAACAGGTAGATATTATTTCCACTTTCATTCCCATTTCCCTCACGGTTTGCTTTATCAATGCTTTGTAGGGTCTTATAAATGTAGGTAGGTTTATTGTAAGACATTGCATTACAACAAGGGATTTAGAATTCTGACATAAGCCAGACTTACTTGCAGTTTTCTTTAGAAAAAAAGTTTCACTACTTAAGTTAGGATAACAATTAAAAAAAAAAAAAAAAAAATCAGAACATTTATATTGCTACAAACTTTTCAGGTGGAGGCAGTTTTACAGAGAGAGCTTATTCTCCTGCCCATTCAGTAACATGCTGTCACAGGAGAAGCAATTTTATACCAATAAATCTGCATTCACCCTGGTGATTCCCCAACCTTTTTCTCCACTTGAACCTACTTCTGGACTGAGCCTGACCACTATAACTCAATTTGTGTGGGGCCTGCAACTCCAAATGAGGTCCAAACCACTAGTTTGAGAACCACTAAGATACACAACTGGAGCTGTGCTATTTCAACTATATCAACGTATTTATACTATAACTTGCCTATTTAGACAAGGTCATGGAACCACTAATTAGACTATTTTGAAAAGTTGGGTACTATTTCTCTAAAAACGATAATCTTACCACATATTCTATTCCCAGCTATCAATTTAGTGAACACAATAGTGCACGTGCATGTATGTGTTATTTCATTATCTAACAGTTTGTGTTTTAGTTACTGGAAAACTATTGACAAGTCATTATAAAAAGGTTATATTATTTGTTGTTAAAGGGCAACAAAGTCTTGCTTTATATAATGTTATATATTTAATCAGTTCAATTAACTCTTGAACCAACTGCAATGACAACTCAATCCCATAAATAGCTATAAAATGATTTTTTCTATGTAGGAGATCACAAGTTTGGTAGTTGTCATAATTTCTTCTCAAAGATGCTTTCAAGGCTTGGATATGTAGCAGGTTGGTTGCACAATATAAGGGTCACTCAAGTTTTAGGATAATTCTATGATTAAATTTGAGAAGCAAAACATTTTATTTTTCAATTTGCAGAAATGGAACCCATTTTCTCAGAATTACTACTAAGTACCAAGCACCATCATGAACAATGGTGTAAAAGATGCAAATAAGAAGTCCCTGTGCTGGTAATCTTACAATCACAAGTAAACAACTGAATTCCCTTCCTCTATTTATTCTATTACCTACTTTTAGAAATGACTAAAATTGAAGGGGGTTTTTCCATTGCAAAACTAGAACTAGGGCACCTGGGATTTGAGTATCAAAGGCATCCATTGGAAAATAGAAAGATGTTAAATGGTTTCAGTTTTGATCCATCTGTGGCTATTAATAAATAATTTAATACAGCAAATTAAGTCTTCTTTAAAATGAAAGAATGCCTGACTGACTTAAGTAACACAAGCAGCTAACATATAAGGGTGAATAATCTTCTACATATTGCATATAATATCCAAATAAGAACAGCCAGACAAATTTATGACAATATTAAGTGAAATTCAGAACCTTTATTAAATACATGGTAGAAAGCAAGTTCATTCATCTGTTTACTTCAGTTATGGATGTCATGCCTTGACAACTCAGGGGGGATGAAGCACCTTCTAGCTCTTGTACACAAATCAAACATACTAGATATAACAGATGCCTTCCAGTGCAGGAGATCAGACTTGCATCCATTTGTGGGTTTTACACATCCTCTACAACAACTGCAACATGCTTAGAGTCCAACATTCAAATCTCCAACAATAACCCGTTTGGAATCTGAAAATCCAGATAAAGGAGCTGATAAAATCTACTACACAATATTATATGGGAGAAATTTCTTCCTGAAATGCTAATGACCTGTTTATGATGCAAAGTATGAATATTGGTCTCCTCAATTTTACTCAATGTGGTAAGCCAAGAAATACCATGGGTAGCATACTCATTTATAAAGTTAAATCTCCATTTCAACGAAGTACTAAACTGTGTGCTTAACTGAGTGCTGATATCCCACTCAATGGTAGTTAAGCACGTGCCAACTTCAAATTTGTGCATAAATGTTTTGCTGAACAGGAGTGAAAATACTTTGTTACCAAACTCTATCTTAACATACATCTAGAAACCAGATGTAGTCGATCACT